GCAGCTGCAAGAGAACCCCCCGTGGTTAGGTTCAGGGGATTGTTTCCTGGATGAAGTAGTCAGTAGCGAAATGTGGGACCAGAGGGGCCGTGTGGGGCCGTCACCTCCCTGGGGAGGCGGAGACGTGCCGGGTTAGTGGACGTCCCTGCACGTGTCGGCCTCGCTCACCTGCCTGGGCCAGGCGATGGAAGCCTCTGTGGGAATTAGGAGCAGTGGGAGTGTCTGCAAGTCTGTCTGTTTTCGGAGCACTTCCTTTGACGTTGCTTTAAGCCCTGATGTGCCAGGATACTTGCCCTTGTGTACGAGGTGTTCTGTTCTGCGCAGCCTCTGAACTCAAGGATGCCAGGAGTGACTGGCCCTGAGGTGGAGTAATTAGAACATAACTGACCGGAAGAAGGACTGGGGCCGCCACCGTCACAGGCTCTCCAAGACTGTTGACCCCATAGAAGTCGTACGCTAATGGGGGTGCAGGGGACTGAACCACTGGAACCCCAGCCTTTCACGCGGGTTCCCAGTTCATTTCCAAGGTTACCTTGCAGGCCTCAGAAATTCTCCTTTAGGAGCTCAGATTAAAAAGGCTGGAAATCCACTGAGTTGTTTCCTGGCTGCTGGATTTCTCCACTGGAGTATGGAGATCGTTTAGAGCGTTATACCAAACCTGTGGGCCGGTCAACTCCGACTCATGGAGGCCCCATGTGCGTCAGAGCAGAACTGGGCTCCACAGGGTTTTCAGTGGCTGATTTTTTAGAAGTAGATCACCAGGCCTTTCTTCCAAGGTGCTTCTGGGTGGATTCGAACCTTTAACTTTTCAGTTAGCAGCTGAGCGCTTAATTGTTTGTATCACCCAGGGATTCCTGAAGCATTATGGGTGCATTGTTCCTCAACAGATACTTCTTCTGTATTTTCAATGAAAAACTTGGACTTTGGAGGGATTGTTCTAAACAGACTCAGATGTCTCGGATGAACTTTTGTTTTGGCAAGAGGCTGTCCCTAGTGTCAGTGGGCTTCCGAGCTCTTGGTGAAGTGCGAAGTCTTGGTGTGAAAAGCTCCAAAGTCATAGTGCTATGTCCCCTTCAGTCTCCTTGGCCAGCGCCTTCTCTGTCTCCATTCTTTGAAAGAAACTCGAAAGTATGTCAGATTTTTATTTTCTCTTTAAAAAGCGCACTGCGGTTTGAACTTTCGGACCAAGGGGCAGCTTTTGAAGTCTGTGTTCACAGTTTAAAGCCTTCGGCATGAACAGAGCTTTCTTTTTCCTCCCTCAACTTTGTCAAAATGCTTCGACATTGTCATCCGCTCAGGGCCGGACTCTGGAATGGATTTTCCTGGGTACTTACTTTCTAGAAGGAGCCCCTGGGTGGTGCAAACAGTAAGCATGCTCAGCTGCTAACTGAAAGGTTGGAGGTTCAAGTCCAGCCAGAGGCACCTCAGAAGAAAGGCCTGGCAATCTGCTTCCAAAAAATCAGCTATTGAAAACCTTGTGGAGCTCAGTTCTACTCTGACACACATGGGGTCACCAGGAGTCAGAGTTGACTCCACAGCAGCTCGTGCTCCCTTCTAGAACTTATTTCTCTGCCACCGAAGCATTTGGGGAGGTTTCGTTCTTTCGTTGGTGGTGGTATTGCTTCTTTGTTTACCACGCCTCCCATCTCCCACCAGAAAACAAAAGCTTTGTGTAAAGTGCTGGGTCAAAGGCTCTCTTAAAAAAGAGAATTATGTTGAGGTGGGTGTGAGTGTGCGGGTGTTGGGACGTCATAAGGAATTCACTTCAGAGGTGGGGAGGAGGATGGATGGGTGCCCTGTGGCGGAGACCTTTTCACATGGGGCTCTTGGTCTGTGTGCATTCACCCATTTCTAGATCAGCTTGGAGAGGAGAAGGACGTAGTGGAATATCCTAGATGGCTGATGCCAGAGATCGCTTCTGGCTAGTGAAATGTCCAGCAGCCCAGGGCAAAAATGGCCGGGAGCGGCCAGGAACGTTAGGAGGCACGGGGCTGGGCAGAGCGGGGAGGAGCGAAGGCAGGAGAGAGATGCTGCCGAGGAGCTGGGCCAGCGAGCCCAGGGAGAGAATCGGGAAGCCAGGGCAGGTTTCTCCAGACTCCACCAGCCAGGAACCATAAGGCCCATGTTCGTCTTGGTTACAACAGGAACAGAAAACCCAGCCCCACCTGGTTTTAAATAACGATAGGAGCTTGTCAAGGAGTTGAAACCAAAGCGTTTAGAGACAGATCAGCTTTCAGGCATGGTTTGCTCAGGGCACCATCTGCTATTGCTTTGAGACTCTCTTGGTTCGGCCTCCTTACGCCCATGAGATGGAGCAGATGAGGTCACTTCCAAAAGCATACAAGGGGTCCTAAGGAGGTGTAGGAGGTTCACTGATGACAGTTGTATATTGAGTAGTTGAAGAGATGTGGAGGGTGGGATGCAGTTTTGATGTCCTGCCAAAACAAAAAACAGTAGAGACCCCATGTATGTCAGAGTAGAACTGGGCTCCACAGGGTTTTGTTTGTTCATTTTTGCTTCTTAATTGTGAAAATATAGATAGCGCCACGTTTGCCAATTCAACACTTTTCACGTACACAGTTCAGTGAGATCAGTGACATTAGTCATGTCGTGCAGCCATCCCCAATTTCCTATGCCAAAGTTTCCATCTCCATAAACAAAAACTCAATAAACAGTAAATCCCCCCTCTTGTCTTTCCCCCACCCCATCCTTGGTAGCCACTATCAAGCCTTGATCTCTGTATTTCCCCATTCTGTGTACTTCGTATTAGGGAGATGGGACAGGATCTGTCCTTCTGCTGACTTTTTTCGCTCAGCAAGATGTTCTCAAGGTTCCTCCAGGTGGTGGCACCGATCAGGTCTTCACTTCTCTTCATGGCAGAGTCGTAGTCCCCTGTCTAGATGGACCACATTTGCTTATCCATTCCTCTGTTGATGGGTATTTGGTGGTGTCCACCTTTTGGCTGTTGTACAGAATGCCACCATGAACATTGGTGTACACCCTAGGGTTTTCAATGGCTGGTTTTCAGAAGTGGATTACCAGGCCTTCCTACCGAGGTACCTCTGAGTTGACTAGAACCTCCAGCGTTTCGGTTAGCAGCCGAGTGTCTTAAGCATTTGCACCACCGAGGGCAGGTACCACCAACCTGGTGGCCCATTGCATGGTCCAGTGAGACCTGGCTGGGCAGCAGAGCCACCTGAATCCTGTTCAGGGGCGCAGGGCCTGGTCCCCAGCCCACACCCACTGCATCAGAGTCACAGGCGGCCGTGAGGGCTGCAGAGATGCTGTCGGGGTCTTCTGGCAGGCGGGCAGGAGAGTGGCCTGCCGGCCTGATCCGTGTGGCCATTTTGAAACCCTTGACTTGGG